ACACAAAGATTATCAAAAGCCAATCAGACATGCAATTGTATCTCAAATTCTTGGCTAAATGGTTCAGGTTTCCTGGAGTATTAGCTCTCCAGCAGAACCGCTCAACCTGTTTTAAAAATGGTGAGTAGGTATCTAAGCTGGTGGGAAGTAGGAGAGACTCTTGCTATGGAATGAAGTGTCAGCATCATTCACAAGATAGAATATGATCTTGCTTTACCCTCCTGGACTCTCCTATGAAGACTGCACCAGATCCACAGGCAGCTGCAGCATGGAGCACCTGTGCACAGGCAGCCATCTTCATGCTGAGGACCTGCTCCACTCAGCCAGTTGCTTTAGAAGCCACTGTGCTAGGTGGCAGAGCACTTGCCGCCACCACCGCCACAGAAGGGTGGTCGTCATAGTGCAAGCGATCACCACTACAGACTTGCACTGGAACATGCCCAATCCCATATCTACACACAGGGAATGCTCAGGGCTCATCCAACAGACACGAGACTAATGGTGCAGATGTCATGAAAGAGCAGAACACATCTCAAAGGCTTACTCAGAGATGGAAGAACTCCCTCCTAGTATACCTTCCAGCCAAGCACCTGTGCAAGATGCTGCCACTTTACATGGGTGAATTCAACACCCTAGACCAGTAATTGGGGGAGAAGCAAGACCACTACTGAAGGCAGGAAGAAAGAAGTTCTTGCGCAGGACAGAAAGCTACAGAGCATCACAATTAACATTATTAACTACTATCACAAGTACTGGATTGAGGAGGAGAAGAGAATTCACTGCACCTTTATAATAGAAAGCATGTACTCTGGTGATCACCAAATAACTGAACTCTGGGGTGTTGGGTTGCTGAAAAGCTTGGTCTCTTCAAACTCTCTAGTGAACTCCTTCCTCAACTGGGTCTGAAGCAGGAAACACTGAACATGGGACAGGAGGGAGTCAGCAGTAAATCAACGTGGGTCAATCAGCTTTCTGTTACTGTAACAAATATCTGACATCATCAACTTATAAGAAGAAAAGGTTTATTTGGGCTCTTGGTTTAGAGATTCCAGTCCTTGGTCAGTTGGCCCTGTTGCTCTGGGCATGTCGTGAGGCAGAATATTGTGACCAGAGCTGCCCACTTCATGGCCAGAATATAGAAAAGAGAGAAAAAAGAAGGGACAGGGGTCCCACCATCCCCTACAAGGGCACACGCATGATGGGACGATCTCCCACTTCCCCCACTTCTTAGTTTCCACCACTTCCAAATAGCATCAAGCTGGGAGCTATGCCTTTAACACATGAGCCTTTGAGGGGTGTTTCAGATTCAAACTAAAGCACAATGCAATCCAAGATCTCTATAGAAAGATATTGCTGTAACTCACCACTAAAATGTAGGAAAAGACATTTGCTTACAATGTGATTGTATATCCAGCTCTTTGAATTAAAAGCCAACACATCTGTGGGTACAGCTCATTTGGTGATCAGAATACCATTGCCTGTGGTGCATGCAGCCCTCTCTCACCAAAGTCAATGAAATCTCAAGGGTGGAGGGTGGATGAAGCAAAATCTTAATGATTGTTGAAGTTAAGTGGTGAGTAGATAGGGAGTTCATCGGACTGTTCTTACTGCTTCTATTTATGTGTAAAAGTGTTCATATGAAAATAATTTTTAACAAGTATTCTCAAAAGTTCAGAGGTACTCCTTCTACTTTTAAAATATTGTTAAGTCTTTGAGATTTAAGCAGCTGTGGATGACACTAGATTTAAAACTATTCTATTTGTAGTATATGCAAAATAAAGATTTCTGTGTGAGTCCAGAAAAAAGAAAAAAGTTGTGGGAGAGGAGGAAAGAAGAGGGAAGCAGGAGGACACAGCAGGGATGGTGTGCTCTTGCATGAGAGATGGACCAGGTCCTATCCCTTCTCCATCACAGCCCAGCTGTGGAACTTGGGAGGTTTATGCTGCTTTCTGTGCATTGTTTGTTCTTCCAAAATTAAACAGTGTCCCCATAGGCTTGTTTGGAGGTTATAATTACATAACAGATCTTGAGAACTTGGCACATAGTAGGCATTCAAGAAATCTTGACTATACTTTATAAATAGCTGTACTTATAAAATAGATACACTCAGGAGAGTCCTTGTCTTACAAAAGAATTCACCACAGGGTCCCTTTAAGCCCTCAGCCCCGTGAGTGCACTTTCAATGGGACTGAGTTTGCAGAAATCCATTTACACCTGACTTTTCAAAAATGAAGCCAAGGCACTAATGAAGGCAGGCGGATCTCCAGTGAGAGCTCCCTGGGCACACTCTCTCAGCTTCAGATCCTGTCCAGCAGGATTCTCTGAAAGACTGGAGACTAAAAACATCTTCTCTGAAAACCCACAAAGACTCACTGGCTGCCCTCTGGGAAGTCTTTTTTCCGTGCATATTTGGGAGGTCTGTGGTGTCTTCAGCGATGGTTCCAGGCTTACGAGGACAATAGCAATAACAGTTGGCTAACAACATTAGCTAATATTTATTGAGGCTTCCTATGTGAGAGGTGCTGTGTTAATTCCCATGCATTATCCTGCACAAGGCAACAGAAGCTAATGTCTGTATAACCACAGCAAGTGCCTGCAAATGAAACAAGTTCCCATATTCCTCATAAAAATCTCACACCATATTATGTTTGTTGCTGTTTTTCAGATAGGAAAACTGAGGCACGGGATAGATAAGTCATTTGCTCAAGGTTGCCCAACTGTACATGATGGGTTCTTTAAAATAGGCCTGGCTCTTAAGCCCACCCCATCACAGACCCTCAGCATCCCATCCCCCTACCACCACCAGATCCAACAGAGACAGGACTGCAGGCAGAAGGTCCCTGCAGAAGGCGCTGCCCCTCCCACTGTCCCTTCCCTGTCTCACTTAGCCCTCTACAAGCTGTTGTCAATTGCACTAAGGTATTTACAGCAACCAGCGACCGCTGACACCTCTGCCCACGTGGGCTATAATTTGATGCTCAAGTTGTTAAACAGCCGCTTTTGAGCGCTGCACTCTTCATACATGAGTGTCTCTCCCAAGAGCCAGGCTGGCCGTCTCTCTCCACTGCTCCCGATGCCTGCACACCTCTCCTGCGGGCCCCAGGCATGTGCACATGTGTGCATACGCCAAACACACCATCGCCCACTGACGGTGCCACACACAGCTACCATCACAAAACGATCCCAGTTCTCGGTTGAGCACATACCCGCCAAGCCACTTGACATGTGTCACAGACACACAGCCTCACCCCACTCACACACCTCATGTCATCAACACACCAGACACCATAAAGAGAACAGCTGGGGATATTCTGTGTAAAGCAATATCCACCAGTAAGTGACTTCTGGTAATGAATGCCCATCCTGAATGTATTTCCAGGAAATATGCTCTCCTCTATATAATAATTTGTCAGAAAATTGTTTACCTGCTTGACTCTGCATTAGGATAACCAGACAAATACTCAACATGTTTTTCCATGTACTTGTGTTAAATGCAGCCGTCACTGGATGTGTTTTACCTGCATGTGCTTCCATGTTGCTGTATCTACCTAAAACCCTGAGTTCAACATCATGTGGTGGGGCTGTGTGTGGCACCAGGTGGGACTCGAGAGTGTGCATGTACTAACACACTAGCATGTCTGCCTGTATGTCTGTTTGTATAAAGCAGACCCAGCCCTTTGACTCTGTTGCCAGCCCTCTCCCCAGGGGGGTCTTTGCAGCTTTGGGCTACCTTCTGCATAATAATATAAGAGCAAACACATCCTCAATCCCAGAAACCCAATCTCCATGCCACCCCCATTCATGCAGCAATGGAAGTGCTTCAGAAAGCGGAGGAGAGCGAGAGGCAGCGAGGACCAGGCTGGCAAAAGAAGAAACTATGGCCCATCCACCCAGGACAGAATAGATTAGAGGACATGTGCTCATCAATAATCACTGTGAAGATGGCCCAGAGCACTGAGCGCTGATCGGTTAGGGTCTGAGAAGGATGCAGATCTCAAGCCCCTTTAGGTTCCTTTTGGGTCCCTTGGGTTGTAAGGATAGGGACTAGGCTTAGTCCCTTCTAAGGGTGCTGGGGAAGGGTACCTGGAAGACTCCACAGAGTGCAGGGAACAGAGTGAGAGAGCTGAGAAGGAGCCCACAAAGCTGCCTTCCTATGGCGGTTTGAGCCTGCAGCACACAGAGATTCAGACTCAGCACAGGGATAGGCCAGAAAGAGAAATCAGAAAAGAGAAGGAGGCAAATAAAATGAAAGAGAGAAAGAATGTCCCAGTAGGATTAATCAGAGGACAGGCAGAGGCCCAAGGAGCCCCAAGATTGCAGCAGAGATAAAGAACAGAAAATACCTCTTGCAGTAGAGCCTCGGAGCTGCCGCCTAAAGGGATGAAAGGACTCCAGGCCAGAGGGCCTCTTTTGCAGCTTTAGCAAGCCACATGGACAGAAGTCCTGTCCTCTGACCCTCTAAACAGCAGTAAGTCCTCAGGGAGATGCCCCCAGGTCCTAGACAGGCACAGCAGGGGAAAAGGTGGCACACTGCCCCAACAGACCCTGCCAAAGGACCCAGGAGAGAAGAAAAGGGAAACCTGAGAGTGGCAGTGGGGTGGGCCCACCTGGACCCACAGATTGAGAAGCTTGGGGTTCAAGTCTGCATGCTGCTATTGATGGTGTGACGCTGCAGCAACCAGGAGCTTCTGGAGGCTGCAAGTGTCCATCTGAAGGCGCTGTGAGCACTGAATACACTCTCTGTGGGAGAGCTGCCTAGCAATGTTCGTGAGCCTCCTCACAGATGAAGACTAGGGGAAAAATCAGACGCACAGGGTGGAGTGACAATGAGCAGTGCACTGCCAGCATGGAGATGTTGCCATCATCGCTCCATATGCACATGTGTGTGTCCTGCCTCATCCCACACGGGATTTGAGTGGGCTGAGAGGGTAAGATTCCTAGATGGCCAGACGGATGGACAGGGGACTGAGGACAGAGACAATGAGAGGCTAGAAGACCTCCAGGGCAGGAGGGCCATTTATTCAGACTTTCAACATTTACTCACTAAGCACCCACTGTGTGCTGGTGCTGTCTGGTTCAAGTCTCGTTCCGATCAGTGATCCAGGTGTCTTTGCCCACAGTGGAGCTTCAGCAAGTGAGAACTTACTCCTCCGCCTTCTGCACACATCTGTGGGAGCCTCTGTCATGCACCTCCATGCATCCCACGTGGCTCCATTCCAAAAGAAGGCGCATCCCCAGTGGAATCTTGTGAAGAGAAAGAGGGAAGAGGGAAGGGTTGCAGGTCTTAGGATCCCATGGCTGCTGAGTCAAGGCTTTTCTGAATGACCTCTCTGCGGCAGTGGGACACAGTGGGAGTGGGAGGTGGGAAGCAAAAGAGAAGAGAGGAGTACTTGACTCTAGGAATCACTCGACACAGACTGGAGCCCAGACATTTCTGTGCATCCAGCTGGACTCGCTGGCTCGAGACAAAGAACTATCTCTGTCTTCCTCTCTCTGCTTTCCAACATGTGGGCAGGATGCTGTCTGTGTTGTCCAACAAAGCTAGACACAGTCTCTCATGTGGAGCTTTAGACACTGAATGGAACAGAAGACTCAAGCTCTGATGGAGTCAATAACCCACACCCCTTTCCTCCTGCAGGCACCACCAAACTGCATTTCCCAGCCCCTATGTGGTCAGGGAGCCATGGGACTGGGTCAGCCCAAGAAGTGTGGTCAGCAGTGCTATTTGCCACCTATAGACCTGGCCTTAAAAAAATCTCCCCCAGAATCCAGTATTCTCTGTCTCCCTCCTCTGCTAGCAGTTTAGAGGACCCAGTGGGTGATGCCAAGGACCCATATTTGGGTCCACAACACCCATAGGGTCCATAGATAGAATTTGTTGGGGAAAAAAATTGTTTTGTCTTTACTTTCACAAATCTCTAAACTGAAAACAGTTTATTCCATTACAATGGCAGATAACCAACCACAGAGACCTACAATTTTGCCACCCATAGAAATTATAGGTACTTATTACACAGCATTTTAAATTGTTGCCGAGATATCAAGAGGTCATTGAGACTGAACAAATTTTGAAATTGCACTACTAGTCCCATTGCTATATTTTACTTAACTTTTATATGATTATATCAAAAATGTATTCAATTATTTTATCACAAGTATATAAATTTTTAAATATTTTTATATGAATTTTAATATAATAGTCTCTTTTGTAGTCCATTAAATTTGATTTCATGTATTTAAAATCTTGCCAGCTGTGGTGGTGCATGGTTATAACCTCAGCACTCAGGAGACTGAGGCAGGAGGATCACTGTGAGTTCAAATCACCATGGGCTGCACAGTGAGTTCAAAGCCAGCCTGAACTACATAATAGCGAGGCCCTGTCTCCAAAAAATAGACATCTTTACCCGCAGGGGTCTATAGACTTCACTAGTTTGCCAAAGTGGTCCACGGTCCAAAAGAAATCAGCGTTCTTCCCCTAAAGAATGATGGAGCCCTTGGCCCCCATACCACCACCACCACTGATCCAACACTTAGACTATGAGGTGAGTGGAAAATAACCTTTATTCAACAAACATTACTGGAGAGCCATTTATGACTGTCTGTGTGGTGATGGGGAGCCCCGAGGGTCGATCTCTCAGCCTAAGTTTGCTTTGTTCTCACTCTCAGCCCTCTTAGATGCCCTCACACTCATACGGATGGAATGTCTTTGATGCCCTCCCCTCACGCCTAGCCTTCTACTGTCCAATTCACCCCAACTTTCAAAGCCCAGTTCAAATGCCACTTCCTCCAAGAAGTATCCTGTACCTTCTCCTCCTTCCTAGATTTTACTGTCCCTGATCTGAAGCACTAAGAGCTACCACCTTCAGACTGTGATCCTCCCTAGGGAAGGAAGTTGGATATACTCCCTCTTGTCCCCCAACCTACACCCCATCCCTGCCATGAGCATAGTCCAGGGATGCTGTCTGTGTTTGCTACACAGAAGGCAGGTTGTAGATCAGAGATCTGCCTGTTTCACTCCACTCTATCCAGGGCCACCTAGAGTACGTATGTTTAAGGACAATACAGTATGTGATTCAAATAGAAAAAAATGTACTAATGCTTACCTACCCTGGGGGCCTCTATTTCCCTTCTTTGAACTATTTCCAGGCCAGGGTGGATTTCCCACTAATGTATATTTTCCTCTAGGTTTCTGGGAAGTAGTCTGTCCTTATCTTCATTTGGCTTTCCACTGTTTCAATTACCAGCAGTCTCTGCAGTCCAATGATATTAAATGGCAAATGCCAGAAATAAACAATTCATAAGTTTTAAATAGCTTTTATTACGGTATATTGTTGTAATTATTCTATTTGAGTATTACTTATTAGTCTATTATTGTGTTTATAAGTTAAACTTTGTCATAAGTAGCATGTAGAGAAAAAAACAACATATGTAGTATTTGGTACTATTCGACGTTCGGGCATGCCCTGGGTGGTGCTGGGAGAACAAAGCTGTGGATAAGAGGACATTACTATAGTTTTGGCAGCCAGATAAGACTGGAAGTCAAGAAGGGGTTAAAAACAAGATGGGTCCTCTCCAACCCTGGTAAATGACACATCCTCCAGGGTCCCAGGCTGAGTCAACCCTTTTGTCCCACACCCTTGAAAGCCACTCCCTCTGCCCACTCCCTCCCTTCTTCTCCCACCCCACCCTACCCCCAACAAGCACTTGGAGCCCTTGCCCGTGGGCAGGAGCTCTCATCCTCTGTGCAGAGCTCACAGAGGACAGCCTGGCCTGCTACCCCCACCCCACCCCCACACAGCTGCTACTGCAGGGACTAGAGGATGGCAGGGAGGCAGCTCTCTGGTCCCCTCCTTGAAAGCATGATTCCATGCTCCTTTTGTCTCCAGGACTGAGAGGCACTGAGTAAAGGCCCCTCTCTCCCCTCAGGTTATCTTGCAACACTGGGCCTCCGATCCCAGGCCTGCCCTAGATGTTTTGTTCCCTCTGCCTCTCCCTCTCCATACTAAGCACTGGAGACCACTGTGGCACACTGCTGAATAACATTAACTCTACTTGTCTTTGGGCAACACCATACACTTTTGGAGGTCTCTTGCTGTGAGCTGGAACAGAGTGATGGCCTCAGGAGCTCCCAGCCTGGTAAAGGAGGTAGAGTAGTAAGCAGAAAATAATATATCAAAATAAATTCTTTAAAAACACTAGAAGTAGAGCTGGGGATTTAGCTCAGTGGTTTCACCGCCTGCTGCGCAAGTGCAATGACCCGAGTTCAATACCCGGTACCAAAAAACCCCACAACAAAACACTAGAAGTAGCTGGACACTGTGGCATACACTTATAACCCCAGGAACTCAAGAAGTTTAGTGGGGAGGATTGCAAGTTCAAGGCCAATCTGAGCAATTTACCAAGACTCTGTCTTAAAATAAAAAATAATTTTAAAAGTTGGAGTATAGTACAGTGGTAGAGTGCTTGCCTAGCATGTGAGGTCTTAGATTCAATCCCCAGTACCAAAAGAAAAGTAAATAAAAAATTAAAATACTAAATGCATAAGAGACCTTGGGACAGGTTCTAAACCCAGGCTGGGGGGACTGGCTAGGTAAACAGTGGAAAGGGAGAGAAGGAACAATCAAACCATGTAAAAACAAACCACTGACTTTTGGACTCATTAAAGGGACAACTCAGATTCCTAGAATCACATCTTTAATCAACAACTATTTGTTGTGCCAAACACCATGCTGGGTAAAGAGATTTCAGAACTGAAGGGAATCTCATGTTCCAAAGCTGGCCTGGAGTCTATACCCTGTTTGTGAGGGATAGGCTGCCCCTTCCAACTCAGAGGACCTGGAAAGAGGAAAACGGGGCTGAAGATATTCTGGGTGTCAGAACAAACACTGAGTCCCTCCTTGCTGAGTTCCGGAAGGGCTGTTCTATTGGGCATTCTCTGGGGCTGACGGTGGCCCTCGCAGAGGGAATCTCGCTGCTCACTACAGTGCCAATGACTGTTGACACCAGTGCTGAGAGCTCTGTTGACTGAAGTCAAAGAGGATGGAGTTTGGGGGTGAAGGTGTACACACACACACATACACACACACATGTGCGCGTGCCCAAGCCTATCAGATTTGGGGAGTGACCTCTGCCCTAAATTAATCCTTCAGCTATTCTCTGAAAGCCCAAAGAATTCTTCCTTCAGAGCCCACACCATAATAGTGTTAATTAAATATGCATTTGTGTGTTTCTTTCTCTCACCAGCATAAGGACAGGAACCACATGTATTTTGTTCATCCTTCCATGTAGGGCAGAGGGCCAGCCACAAAGTAGGCCATAAGGCCGTTGTAGCTGGAGCACACTGGTAATTTTTCAGCACTCTGGAAGACTGAGGAAAATTGACCCTAGCCTGGGCAACTTAGCAAGACCTCTCAAATTTAAAAAAACAAAAAATTAAAAGTGGATGGGAAGTTACTGGGTTCAACAGCCAATACTGATGGAGGAAAAAATGGCTGATGAAATAAACAGAGACTGCTGGGTGGGCATGGAAGGACATTCCAGGAGATAGGGCAGCCTGGTGATGGTTCATTTCCTTTTACACAGAGAGAGACAGGGCCCAAGTAGTGAGGAGCAGGGCAAAACTGCAGCTGCTGTGTCTGTGGAGAAGGGTGTCACATGGCAAGGGGGACACTGGGGCCGGAACACAGACACTGAAAGGCACTATAGTCCTGGCCCCCAAGATCCTCCTTCTCGGAGAGTCAGTTACCTTGAAGACCCCCTCCTCACATCCAGCCACCTTCTTAAGGTCGCAGACTCCTTTCTCCTGGAGCTGTAGGGTGTGCCTGGCCAGATAGCCTTCTCTCCAACCAGGTGTCCCAGAACTTCCGGGAAGGCCCGGAAGGGAAAGGTGTACCCCAGAGGCCAATCTGGGAGTGGGGCGGGGCAGACTCGCTAGAGTGCAAGAGCCAGGAGAAGCTCAGCGTCTAATATGGGCAAGGTGAGCCTTGAGAACCAGGGCACGCAGCAGTCGGGTAACTCAAGCACATCTCAGCGCGGGATCTGCTCAGGTCATCCCTGTTAGCGCCAGGTCAGGCCCTCTCAGAGCGCCGATCACCATGGTAGCGAGAGGGTCCACCCTTTTTAGCGCAGGTCACGTGCTTTGGAGCAAAGTCATTCCGGCTTACAGAGCCAGCCTGAAGCGCCGGGTCAAGCCCGAGGTGGGGCAGGGTCACCTCGGTTAGCACGGGGTCATTCTTAGCTCAGAGTAGGTAAGTCCTGCTCTGTGCAAGGTAAGCTCCAGAGACTTTGGGGTCAGCGGCGCCCCCAGGTGGCTGGACCGGGCCGGCGCTCACGATCGGATGCCCCGGAGGGTTTCAGGAACCTTAGTCCTGAGTTCTCCGCCCTCCCTTCTCTCAGCCTGGCCCCGGGGAGCCTCTCCACTCGGGCCGGCTGCTTTCCAATACTCCTGTATGCACATTTGGGGCTCCTTTTGTTTACAGAATGCAACTGGGTTACCAGAGCGCGTTTGAAACCCAGAACCCCAGATGTAGAGAGAGGAGAAATGTCACCGGGAAAATCCAGCCACAGCTCCGGAGGAAACCACGACAGAGCCCGACGCTTGCCTGTAGGCCCTCCCCTTTCTCCAGGGTTTTCCTAGGACACCCACTGTGCGGATTTGTCTCTGAGATCGGCGCTCCGCACCCGCTTCCCCCAACCCACACAATCTAAAGTTCTCAAGTGTGGTTTCGGTGGGGACATTTGGAGAAGGAGCGTGGCCACGGCTCCTGCCCCGCTCAAGTTTGGAAAGACACCCCCACCCCCACCCCCACCCCCGCTCCCGGCAGGTTGCAGTTCCCTAGCTGCTTCTCCGGTTCCCCCAACATTCACGTCCTGGCTGGCCTTTCAGAAAGAAGGGAGAAGGCCTGATGGGACAGAAATGAAAGGGGCTGGGTAAAGGCTGCCTTCCGCTTTTTGTGCCACCTTTTTCCAGTGCTACCGTAGACACAATGGCTAGGGCTGAGCGTGCCACGGACTTGGAGGTGGCCATTCACCTCAGGCGCATTCACATGCCCCTCCCCAGAAAAGGCAGCACAACCCTGCCTACCAAAACCTGGCTACCTTTCAGAGTCCCACTGAAGCCCCTCAAACTCAGAAAGGCCTGTATGGCACCAGCAGCAGAAGCCCCAGAGCTGCTTGGGCTGTGTCTGCAGAGTCCAGCACAGGCCCATCGGCCACCCTCACTGCCCAAGGAGAGCTGGGGATGGAGAATGAACTCTTCAAAAGACTGGAGGGAGGAGCTGGCAGTGAAGTCCAGTTTCATTTATTCCATGTTCATTTCTCAGAGAAACTGAGGCCCAGTGAGGAGGAAGTACTAGAATCACCATTCTAACTAGAATCAGGCATTTCTCTCCATCCCAAATATTAGATAATCTTCACAGCAGGTGCTAGAAAGACCAAGGAGGAAGAAGAAAGAGAAACCAAAACCTGATACCTTCCAGGAGTAAGCCTAGGTCAGAATCCCTAATATGCATGTGAACACTCGTGCGTACGTACACACACACACACACACACACACACACACACACACACACACACCCCTCCAAAGCCCTGCAGCTCCACCAGCACATCTGACCCAGGAAGGAATGGCTCCAGCCAGGGCAGTCTGGGGCCTGAACCAGATTTTCTCCCTTTGTTCTTCACTTTGTGAAAGGCCTGGGGTTGGCTGGGGCACAGGAAGCAAGGCTTGGAGCAGCCAGGTGGGCCAGCTTCCCGACAGATTCTCCGCCATACTTGTACCTGAACAAGCAGGAAGAGAGGGAAGTCGGAGCCTCAGAAAATCTAAAGGGAAAGAGATGATTAGCTGGTAAATTCTGACTATACGCCCCACACACGTACACACACCTTCCTTGTCTCCTAGCAGGTTGCAGGTCCCAGACCTTCTGTGTTGTCTGGGGCTGGGCAAAAGATCTGACTGCCTCGCCAGGCCCTGAGCCAGGCAGAGTGGAGTGCCAGGCACTCCTGGCAGCCTATGCTCCTCCTTTGTGCCACCAACACCTCACTCACCTGTACCCAATTTTGTGCCCCGATTTACTCAGATAATTTTCTGCTTCGCCATACTGATCTCAACTTTCGCCCCATCTTTCCTTTGGGAAGAGAGATTCACAAGTAAAGACTGCCTGGTGACATCTGAGGTTTCCCTAGAGTTTAAGGGGAGATGCTAGGTTTTGAATTTCCTCAAAATATCTCAAAATAATTAAGAGTGCCTTAATTGTCTATGTTGGGACACAAAGACTGCAGAGTCTGACTACATCCCACATCCTGCTGGAAAATCTTGGGCAAACACCCTTTTCTAGGGCCGGGGATTTAGCTCAGTGGTTCTGCCGCCTGCCTCGAAAGCGCAAGGACCTGAGTTCAATTCCTGGTACCAAAAAAAAACAAACCCAAAAAATCCCACCAAAAACAAAAAAAACCCACCCTTTTCTAGACCTATTTCCCTGGCCATCCAGTGTTAGCCCTAAGCAAACTTTGTTGTTACTGGGCACTGCAGTCTGCACCTGCATCTTTGCTGCAGGAGAACAGTTTCCTGGAAAGGAAAGGTTCCAAAGCTACCTAAGACTAGTAGGCAAGTCCCTCTGTGTGGGCTGGAGGGGAGGAGGCTAACAGTATCAGGCAAGAAAGAGGCCAGGGAACAGACGATGAACCTTTTGGATAACCTGGACCGACTCAGACAGGCTGCAAGGTTTGGCTAGGATAGGGCGAGGGAAGCAGGAGGTCAGCCCACTCCCCTGCCAGGCAAGTTACTACCACTCAGCAGCTTTGCTCCACGTTCTACCTTCCCAGTACGTTCTGAGCCTGCAGTTGGGAAGGAGGCAGGCGGAGGACAGATTCCGGTCTCTACCAATACAGGAAAAGGCTGGAAACTCAAGTTCCTTCCTCCCCACTCCTGCAGGGACCCATTCTTAACCTTCCCACCCCAGTCCTCTCCACCCATATCTTCCCAGCCCCTGCCAGAGCCACCCAAGGAGATTCCACACTCACAGACTCACACTGATACAGTCACTCACAAATACACACACACATTAGCACACACGTAATCATTTACAAATATTCATCCCTAGGGGCTGGGGTGTAGCTCGGTGGTAGAGCAACTGCCTAGCCTGAACAAGAGTTAGGTTCCATCCTCCGAACCACGAAAATAAAATAAAACAAAATAGCTCACCGCTAAGCACAGTCACCTGTGACAAACCTGTCCCCCCTCTCACATGCAAACATAAATACAGTCACAGACACCACGGAGGAAAAAGGCATATTCACATCTACCACCCACGATGCCTGGGGTCATGATAAAGGGAATCCTTAATCCTGAAAATACCAAACTTCTTTTTTATTCAAATAGGGTGGTAGTCATTGGTTTTGACTTTCCTTGGATCAACTACGGAGTTGGGCTGCTCGTAATGATACGGGGCAGGAGTTTGCTGCTGTGCCTCCAGGACGATGCCCAGCAAGTAGATGCTCCTCGAGCAAGGGAGGGGAAGGCGGAGAGGAGGGAAGGGGCGAACCAGACAGGAAAGAGATTTCTAGGCTGGGGCGAATTCACACGCCAGTGTTTGATGGGTCACTCCTCGGACGGAAAACCAACGCTTCCTGACTCTAGCCTCACGCTTTTTCAGACGGTCAGCAGAGGGATTAAGAGATCCTGGGTGTGGGTCGCGCAGATCAGAGGCGAGAGAAGCCGCTTAAGGCAACTGAATCAAGAAGAGGCTTCGCAATCCGTCTACTCTAGCGCGCGTTTACAAATGCACGCGAGGAACGATTCCCGTCCGCCTGGGACCCACAAAGCCGGTCTGACTGGGGCGGCCGAGACGAGGCGAGCCTGAAGTCGCCGGCTCTGGGATCCGGATCCTACAGCACGGCGAGTCCGGGTTCTCTTCCCAGCTCCGCCAAGTGACCTGCCGTGCGACGTCGGCTTGGTCCTTTCCGCTCAGAAGAGGAAGGTGGAGCTGTCCGGGTCCTTGAGACCCTCTGACCCCCGCCGTCCGGGCATTCTCTTTGGGGTGATCATTGAGGGGGCCGGCCTATCCTGAAGAGAACGGAACGTTTACAGGCAACTCCAAATTGAGACGGGAACCTAAAAGAGGGCCCAGAAGAGACAGCGGGAGGGAAGCTCAGGCCAATCCTAGGCGGACCCAGCACATCTGCATGTGAATGGATGTGGCTACCTTGCTCTGGAGTCCGGGTGGCACTGACACCTGCTAGGGGAGAGGGCGCAGAGCGCCTGTCCTCTGTAAGCGGCGACGAATTAACTTGAACAATAAAGTCCATTCCTGTACTCTTAAACTCCCCCCACACATACACACGAACGCGTTGGCAGTGTCCACACAAATAACTTCAAATACACTTTTTAGGTCGGCAATAATTTTTAGCTATCGAAGGGGTGAATTTAAATTTCTTTGTTCCTCCAATAATTAGCTGTTTTCAGACCTAAACCCCGTGCAACTGTAATTCCAAAGATACTTCTGCCAGCGCAGACAAGCGTCTCCGAGGCGAGACTAGCCTGAGGCAAGTTTCTAACTTGTGGGGAAACTGAGCACAAGTCTCCCGAATGCCGGCTTCAGGTGGCAACCACGCAGGACCCCGGGAACCACAGCTGAGCGCATCCTTCCGAGCCGCCCGCACGCGGGGCCTGGTGCGCACTCCGTGGGAGACCGGGGTCCTGGAGTAACCGGGCGAGGGCAAAAGAAGACTGGAACTCTGTGGCCCCCTCGGGACGGAGAAGTTTCGGGGAGGAGGCTAGCGAGCCCGAAGTAAGGTAACGCGCGCAGGCCCTGCCGCGTGGAGAAACGGAAAGTCGCGACTGAGCGCAATTTCCGCCTGAGTCCGCGTGGAACGAAAAGACAGCGCTTCGCAAGGACCCAGGCCTCAAAGCCGGGAACCGGCGAGGGTCGGAAACAACCCCGAGGGTGTCGGCGCGAAGTTCAGCTGCAGGGCGTAAGGGAGGAAGCTGTCCTTCCCCAGCTGGCCCGAGCCTCGGAGCCTCCCCAGCGGCCGCTTCCAGCTGCAGCGCTCGCTCTGCTGCAGAAGGAGGCGGTGCCCGCTCCGCCCCGCGCCGCGCCGCGCCGCGCCCACCAGCCCGCCGACAAATTCGTTCCCCAAACCGGAGCGGGGAACCTGTTCTCACAACAGATTCCTCCGCTGATACGGTTCTACGCGGACCTTTAAAAAAAAAAGACAAGGTAATTCCGCTCCAAAAGTCCAATCTAGGTTTGTTTGCTCTCAAATAGTCTGACGGACGAAAAGCTTGGAAAGCTGTTATCCTGCCAGACCGCTGCCCACCTTTCTCTTTCAGCATCTCTCCAGAAACCTCACAGTGCCAGCCTCAGAAACAAACGTGGGCTGGGTCTCATCATCCTCGTCGGCCCTCCCTGGACGTCTCCCCAGGGCCCAGCCTACACAACCTTTCTGACTTAGCGGAATAATTTAGGCGCAAATCCAATCCCGCCTCTCTTCTCTTCAGTGGAATGCTCAGGGTTCAAATAAACTCCGAATTCGGTCCGTAAAGACCCAAGGTGAGAGGCCTCCTCCCGCCTCCCCCTAAGCATGAAACCTTGCGGGGCACGCTCCGCACTCAAAATCACTTCTCCTTTTCTCTAGCAGGGTCCCTCGTTTAAATAGCGTCGGCGCCTTTATTCGCCTGACCTTGTGCGCAGGAAAACTCGCCTGGTCGGTCATTGTCTGGTCCCCGCCTGTCCCCGCCCGCGCCCCAATCAGTGTCACAAAACGCCCCTTTCAACAGATTCCAAACCCTCTTCACCCGGGCTCACCGAGCCTTCAACTTCATTAAGTGTGCGTTACGGCGGCGCTGGAGGAGGCGAAGTTTAAATAAACCGGAGCGGAGGAGGAGGGAGGCGGGCCTGGGGAGGGTCGCTAGTTGAAGGGGGATTGTTTTTGAAAAGGGGAAAAAAGTCATCAGAGGGAAAAAGCGCTTTGTAACCACGTAGACGCGCCCGCTGTGGCGAGAACGAATTGGATATGGAGGGGAAGTGTCTCCCCCCCCCCCCCGGCTCCTGGGTGGTCCGGGGCGCCCCTAGAGAAAGAAAGATGGGGAGGAATCGGCGGTGAAAAGAATTAACCGCTTTAATTGGGCTCCAAGAGAGAAGTGCAGGAGGTTCGCGGATGGGCCTCGATCACCCAAACCAAATACTCTTCAATGAAATAAAATGTCTGCCCATAGCCCACGGCTTCAAAACGTATGGCAAAGTTGGAGAATCAAGGCTGTCCTTCAGAGTCCTGGAAGGTAAACCAGCAAGAGGGGGGAATTCTGCCCGGAAAGGTCCCCTCCCCCTCCTTGTGGCCTCGGGCCTCGCGGCGCCGGATGAAAAGGAATGAAATTGAACGAAATTGAACGAAATGAAGTGAAATTGACCAGTGAAATTCGCCAATTTTCTTCCCCTTTAAACTGCCCGCTCTCAGCAGAACTCTCTGAACCCCAGGCAGATTTCTTACCACTTTTTTTTCCCTCACCTCGGAGAGATGAAGGTGTGCCCTGGATATTTTATTATTGCCAGCAATTGTTGGGGCCCGTGGGAACAGACCCTCAGCTGCCTCCACCCAGGCAGGGAGGGAACCCATCGGGCTGTTCTGGATGGGATGGCCTGTTTCTCCTCCCAGGAGGCTGGGCCCCTAAGTGAGCCAACAGGAGAGTCACCGACTGAGCCCCTCTAGTCTGGAAGGAAAAATAAAGTCAGGATTCTACCCTTCCCCGCAACTCCCTTATCCTTCCTGCAGCCCAGCTCCCCAGGCAAACTTCTCAGATACTAAACAGGTTGTCCCGAAAGACGACCTAAAAGAGCCCAGAATTCCACACACCTTCCCTTCGGAGCATCCCAGGATCCTCTAGGAAATTCTCTATGTAATTTTTAAGGCCAGTGGGGCATTAGTGGTTTCCCTGGACCTCAGTCCTCTGCCATAATTCTATCTGGCCCAGTCCTGGCCTTCCTGGCCCTCTGAAACCAAGGTCTTAGCCATAGGTTGGTTTGGGACCCTGAGATCCCTAAAAGTCCTTTGTACATCTCAGTCCTCTTCCCCAACCCTCATTTTTCTACCTCACATTTTTCTACCTATATCTTATACAGACCCTCCAACACACAGACACCAAGCAATAGGTTCAGATACACACACACACACACACACAACAAAGATAGATTGAAGAAACCAGAGGAATTTGCCGCTTTTTCTCTAAATAGTAGTTATGGAAGTATCTCCTCCATCTAACCACCATCAGATATGAATTCTGCCTGATAATAGTCTCATTTCTAGAAAAAGAAAACAAACTGGTGTTTTTTACTTAAAGCAACCTAATATCTGGGAGTGACCTAAGCATAGCAAATGAGATCACACAGCTTCAAAGTGCTTTACTGAAAGCATACACACATACACACACATACACACACAAACACACACACAGGTCACATTTACTCTTCCTCAAGTGAAAAGAAACAAAATCAAACTCAGAGCAAGGGAAGTCAATGAAGAAGCCGGCCATTAACTATTATCCCAGTGTTAACAGACATTTCACATGTCTTACTACTGAATCTAATCTTACTTCTCCTGGACTCTGCTAAAATGGTGGAAAGGTGGCCACTACACTTGATCTCCCTCCATTCCCTCCATCTCTCAGCAAGATCTCAGTCTGTGGCAGAGCTTATTTACCATTTACACCTCCAGCCTTGCCTCTCCTTCATTGGTAAAGTGGATGAAAGGTAGCAGTCCCAACAACCTTTCACCAGCTCTGGTGTTCTCCACATACTCATCTTGAGTTGGTCTTATTTGGATATTATAGGGGCCTCTGTCTTCTCCTTCCCTCCTGTATTGCCAGCTGCTAGGATCCGAGCTGAAGATGCCCATGTAGCTTCTTTCTCCACATACCCTTGAGCTCTCAGCATCCGGGTCTTCATTCTGTTACTTCTCTCTCAATTCTTGCCCAACATGTGTCTATTTTCTGGGAAGATTTTTTTTGCACTTCCCATATCTCTCCTCTCCTATGATCTTGGTAGAAAAATGGAGAAAAGAGCCACACAACAATCTCTGATTCACCCAAAGCATCACCTTCACTCAACATGTTTGCAAATCTGGCTACCTGAGTCCTAGACACAAGAAGAGAGCTAAGGGATCAGTGGGTTATGGAAGACTCCAGTCAGTCTGATGGATTTGGACTATGGTCGTAGCTTCTAGCTATGAGCATGACTCATGGGACCAGAAGCTTTGCCCTGACACAGACCCCAAAGACTCTTTTAGTTCCTGATGCATCTCTATTCTTCTCACAGTCCCTAATGCAAGCCTTCCACTCTGTTGCATAGGGTGTCTAAAGGCCCTACAGTGTGGGCAAAAAGAAATCTTTCTCCTCTTAGTGACAGTAACCCAAGCATCGTAAGAATACATATGAAAACACATGTTCATAGGCACATATAGAAGAAAATACATACATCCTGAAATACAACTTATACACACACACACAAATCAAAAAGTAAGACAACCCAGAGAAACACAAAAATAAACCATAAGCTCCATAAAAGTCCCCGCACCCAGAAATGCACAGAGCCTTCAGAATACGCATTGAGAGACCTATTCTGCTGATACCCAGTGGGTAGAGCATTCAAGAGCACTTAGCACCCAGATCTGTCCAGGCCAAGCTAAAACCTAAACCAGCACTGAGACTCCTCAGGTGCATTTGAATCATAACCTCTCTACCCAACCCTAAGCAAACCATGTAGCACCAGAGTGAAAATGAAAGTGTTGGAGGGGTCACACAGGCTTCTCAGAGACCTGGCCCCAGCAGCAGCTAAAAGCCAACACTGAAATGTCCCCAGGCTGTGAAAAGTCCAAACCCCCTCTGCCTGCCTGGTCCTTCTTCGCTGCCCCTCTGTTGGGGGAGCCTGGGGTCTTTAGGAAGAGCCCGGACAAGGGAGTTCAGGCAAGCACACTGAGCTGGTGACTGCTGAAGTTCACATACATTTATTCGATTGACACCAATGAGGAAGGTGGGGGAGAGACAGATTTTTCTTTTCTTCCACACAAACCATTGGACGATTTCAGTCTCCCCTAAGTAGAGAAGTCTAAATCAATGCACACCAGTGAACACAGAACGGAGAGAGCAGCCCGTTGTACAGATACTTACACATAATTACAGGACCCCTGCCAGCTCTGGGCCCTCGCCCACCCTCCCCCATCTCTCCAGTCCCTGACCCAGACCCTCTTCTCCCACCCAACCTCATTGCCTTTACTACAATAAATATGGCAGGGCCTGGACAAGAGCTGAAGGCCTGGGGATGAGGAAGGCTCGCCCCTGAGGCCACGGGAAAGAGGGGGAGTTCCTTTAAAAGCACCCAAACACGAAAGAGAAAAGATTTTTTCCACAGTGGAGCGGGCTCTGGGTTTCTGCAAGGATTGTGGAGACCCCTGCTTCACCTCTCCGTTCAGCTTCGCCCGGGTAGACACTGCTTTAAGCTTCAAAGGGAACGGCCTTCCTTGGAGAAGAGCAAAACAAAAAATTGAATTTTTAAAGCACAAAGCAGATAATGGATGTCTTTAAATTATAATATTGGACAGGCGGGGTCTCAAAGTTGAAAGAATGAGGGGGAGAGGAAGAAAGGGAGACCTCTCAGCGCCTTTGGTGTTTCTGGCGGGATCCGCAGGGCCTGGGCTAGCGTCTCTGCCGGGAATTCATTCTTCCTGGGTTGCCCAGCCCAGCGGGCGCAGGGGCTGGGAAAAAGTGAAGGCTCTTCCTTCCCTCTTTTAGTGCTCAAACTGGAAAGGGATCTTAGCGTGGGACCTCTTCCCATAGACGTGGGCCTTGCCCTGAGCGACGGAGCCCGCCTCGTCCCAACTCTCAGCGAGATTGTAAGCGTGAAGCCTTAGGTGACAAGTCACTCGCCAGCCCAAGTCTGGAGACTCTTCATAAATAGACTCCCTGAGTTCCGCTGGGACCACAGGAGCTCCCGGGAGAGGCTGAGGAGTGAGGGCCTGAATAGCCCTGAGCCTGCTGCGGTCAGAAGTGGCAGCCACTGAGCCCTGCGACTTTGCTGGCGAAGGAGGGCCCTGAAGACAGGAGCGCGTCCCCAGGGTGTGAGAGACGGATGTGGCCCGCCACCGGTGCCAGGGCAGGGGCAGTCAGCATGGCCAAAACCTGGGCTTGACCCCCAGGACGCGCGGCTGCGGTGAATGGTGATCCCGGGGAGCTCTCGCCGCTGCCCGGAGGTGCTGCCCCGCCACCGCCGTGGCCCATGATGTGGTCTATAGAGAAGGAAGGCCTATGCCCAGGCCCTGCGGCCCCGCCGCCCGCGTCCGTCTTGAGGCCCTGGCGCAGGAGTGCGGTGGACAGACCTGCCGCCGTGCCAGCAGCAGGAGGGCTCAGGGACGCGGGGTAGAACGCTTTGGCGCAGCCCAGCTCGGCACCAAGGAAGGCGGGCAGGCCAGAGGGGCCCGGGCCCGACCCTGGTGCAGGCGCAGGGGCCGGAGCAGAAGCTGTGCCCGCGAACACGGAAGCCGTCGGAGGTCCGGGCGGAGGCGCGGCGGCACGGCCTGCAGAAACCGACAACTGGCAAGGCGCGGCGGCGGCAGCGAAGGCAAAGGCGTGCGGGTGCGGGTGTGGCGCTGGGCCCGGAGGGGGTGCGCCGTAGGCCGGCAGCGCCAGCCCATAGCCGTAGCCGTAGGCGCCGTAAGCAGCGAAGCCGGGCAGGAAGGCGCCGGGGTCCCCAGCCGCAGCAGCCCCGCCACGCAGCAGCAGCTCTGGGTGCGGGTGCGGGTGCGGCGGTGGGAGCGGCTGCCGCTTGAAGCGCTTGCGGCGCCGCAGGAAGCTGCCGTTGTCGAACATGTCGGCGGACTCCGGGTCCAGCGTCCAGTAGTTGCCCTTGCCCGGGTTGCCTGGCTCGCGGGGGATCTTGACGAAGCAGTCATTGAGCGAGAGATTGTGGCGGATGCTGTTCTGCCAGGCGGGGAACTTCTCCCGGTAGTAGGGGAAGCGGCCACTGATGAACTCACAGATCTCGCTCAGCGTCAGGCGCTTCTTGGGGCTCTGCAGGATGGCCATGGTGATGAGAGCGATGTACGAGTACGGCGGCTTCACCAGTGGGCTGCGGGTCGCTGCGCCGCCCGACGGCGGTCCTGGCCCCGGCCCCGCCGCGCCCCGGGCCGCCGCCGAGCCTGGCCCTGGGCTTCCCACAGCGGCCGACGCCCCCCGGGGCGCTAGAGCGCGGGGCTCGCCGTCCAAGCAGCCACCCGACTCCTCCTCGTCCTCCGCTACGTCCGCCTCGGCTTCCTCCGGGGGAGGCTCGTGGCCGTGGGGGAGCGCGTCCCGGGGGGCGCGGGGCCCAGAGCAGGCTGAGAGCTCCCCACCACCGCTGCCGCCGCCCACCACGTCTATGTCCGCGTCCGCCTCGGACAGCGCGGCCGGGGAGCTCTCGGAGGACATGATCTCGCAGCAGCAGCTGCCCAGGGTCATGGTGCCGCCACCGCCGCCGCTCTCCGGCTCCGCTCGGGCCGCGGCTCCCGCTCGGCCGCGCTGCCTCTGGGGCGAGTGTGTTTTGCGCGCGGGCGGGTGAGGGGGCGGGGGACGGAGGCGGACGGGGAGGGGTGTCCCCCAGCTCCGCAGCGCCCCCTGGTGACCTAGCTGCGCCGATCTCGTTCTGCAGCGCACACCGGGCCGGCCTCTCCCTCCGCAGTCCAGGGAGTCCGAGCTGGGACCTACACTCAGCTCACAGGCAGAAGGGGCTGAGACCACCCCTTACCCAGGCAGGTCTTGGTCCCTAGTCCCCCAGGGGTGAAAGCGGGGGTTCGAGGGATCATTCCCTCCCGCCTAGCGGCTGCCTAAAGCGGAAGAGCCATGGCCCCGGGGCGGAGCTCCCCGGGCGGGGTGGGGCGCGGTTGGGCGGGGCGGTAGGGATGGGCGCAGAACCTCCGCTCTAGGCCGGGCGGGAACAAACGGCCGCCGCTGTGGGAACTCGGCTCGTGTGGTTGTAGGAGGGTCCGCTTCTTCCCCCAGCTCCCGCAAACCCTCGGCACCCTGGAACCACCGCCTTCAGTGCGCCCAGCCTCTGGAAGTTGAGGTTCGCGCGGGCGCCCGCCGAAGCCATCAGGTAGAAGGGGCGAAAGCCCCCACCCACCATCCCCCGGGCCACCGGAGCTGAGGGGCCCTTGGAACGCGAGCGGAGGCCTGAGACGCCCGGAACAGCACCGCCCAGAGTGCTCGCCCGGAGCCCAGGCGGCTTCCGGCTCAAGCGGGAAAGTGATCGCGAGGAGCAAACTTGGCGCTCGCAGCCTCCGGCCTGGAAGAGGTGAGAGATTCGAGTGGTGCCCCTCTCCTGCGCTCCAAGGCCCGGGCCCTGCCGCCCATCCCCTTGCAGAGAGACCCTCGGAATACGCCGCCCGCTCCTGGTCCCCTCTGCTGGGGCCAGGTTTCCGGGACGCGGACTGGTCCATCGCTCCGGGTCGGCCTCAGCATCCATTTGGCTCCCTCTCTGTGGCTCTGTCTCGCTCTCCGTGGATCTCTGCTTCCATTTTCTGTGTAAACTGTATTTACCAGGGTGTCTGTGGGTCTGGGAATCCCCCGCTCAGTTTCCCCTTCTCGCCTAGCCGCAGTCACAATGAGAGACGCCTCCCCTCAGTCCTTCTGGCCGCAGGACTTGAAGGGCTTACGGACAACAGGACTCCCTCGGAGACCTCCCTTCAAGAACCCTGACCTCACCCCCGGGCCCTGCTGTTTGTCTCTCTCTGGATCAGGGACACTTAAGTGGTCTAATGTCCTCCTTTGGCCCGCCGGGTTCCTGCTTGTCCTATTTGGCCTCTCTTCCTAGCGTTCCTCCACGACGCAGAAACAAGTCGCAACAGCTCAGACTGGGCCCGTTGCAACTTTTGCGAGGGTCGCGGGTGCTGGATTTGAGGTAGAACTGAGCTGGTGGCCCGGCCGCTGCCCCCATGGCGCCGCGCAGTGGCCAAAATTCGGGCACTGTAAGCCTGAGTCTCAGCCGCAGGCTGCTGTCAAAGGCTTTGTGATCCTCATTAGGTAACTTGCCCTTTGGAGCTCAGTTTCTGGTCTGCGTAACAGTTCAGACCAGAGACCCTAGAGTCAAGGCTGCTGGGGTTCCAATCATTTCACTGCTTAGCAGTTGTCTCTTGAGTAAGTTTCTTAAACTCTAACTCTGTCTCCTCTGTAAAAATGAAATTAGAAATGCCTACTTCATGACTACTAAGTAAAAGTAATCCTATTTTCGACCATTTATGGAGGGAGTTTTGAGAGTGCTTTGCAGATTTTGGAGGCCTCATTCTCTGGGAGAGAAAGGGATTGAGGCAATGTAGTCTTCCTCCCGAATCTCAAGCCGTGGTCCAGGCCAGAACCGTTCACTGGTACCATCTCCAATCATTGTGTGGAATTCAGTGCCCTGCAGAAAAGCACTGGGAGCAGGTTAGCAGGGAATTTGCAGCTCCGATGAGCTGAATCTGCAGGGTGGATGTGAGGGTGGATGGATTCTCTTCTATCTAACAGCGGCCTTCAGTAGATGGAAGTCTAGTGTAAGGCCCGCTCTCTTAGTTCTATAGATGGGGCTGCAGAGGCCAGGGCAAGGGGAGAAGGACTCAGCCTGCTGCAACAAGATAGAGAAGGGCTGGGTGGCAACCTTTGTCATGTAATCCTCACAACAGTTTTTCATCCTCCCAAGAGCTGAATGAATGGGTGGAAGGCAGGTCTCGCTTCTCCTATCCAGTGAGAGCAAGTCCTCTGGGCCCCCCTGGAACCTCTGACCCATGGGATCCACTTGGTGTGCCAGGTCTGCACAGACTATTCCCAGGAAAAAGAGAAGAGGCCCAGTCCTCAAATCAGGAAAATAAATCAGAAAGGGACAATTAGAGATTCTCCAATTAGAATTTTCTGGTGGCAGAGCTCTCCAAGAAAAAAAAAAAAAAAGAAGTCCTGGAGAGAAGTTTCTTACAGGAGTCCAGATAAACCCAGGTACATAGGCCTGCTGGTTTATTTTATCTGGCAAGTCTGCACATACCTCAGACTTGGTCTTTACTAAATGGAGATCTCTCTCACACTCCCAGGACCCTACTCGCAGATACCTGACACCATGGACCACACGCTAACAGCAACCAGCTTGGCTCTGCTAGTGTCTAAGTAAATGGAGAGAAAAACACCTACTCTATTTCACCTTCTGAATGTCTTCATTTCAAAAACAGCAAATGGGGACGAGGAGTTTCCACCTTGCCAGTGCTCTCCTGGTTCCTCAACCTCCAGGCCCCTGCCCAGCTTCAGGGCCGGGCTGGCTGAAGTATTTGCTGCCCAAATCCCCTGGTTCCCATGCTCCAGTAGCTGCCAGCTCCTCCCTCTGTCTGGCCCTGAGGCAATTCAATGCTGTCTGGCCAAAAAGGGGTATAGAACCTTTCAGCCTCTGCTCTGCGGGATGGAGGTGGGGGAAGACCTCTAAATCTAAAGGCCCTCCACACTCTCCATGAATATTTTTGCAAGAGTAGAAACTGGAGCCCAGGAGAGCAGGTTAGAAGCCAGGCTTCTACAGGGCCTTAAGTCAGGGTGGGTCCAGGTGTCCGGGCTCCCAGCCCAGAACTTGCCTACCCAAATACTGCCCTTCCCTAACGAGCTCCACTCTTGCCTAGGGAGGGGATTTCTGATAGGTTCGTATCCCTTCCAAGACTCTAGGCAGATTTGTTTTAAACAGTTCCAAGAGTAAGTGCACTGAGAGCTTCTCTGGTGGCCCTTGCCTTTCCGGCCTGTGGGCTCAGCCCCTTCTACATCATCCCTTGGTGACTATGGCTCTGAATGGGTGTGTGGCTCCCTCCAAAAAATCCTGGACACTCGCCTGTGCCTACTGCAGCCTCCATAAAATGGGGCTTTGTGGGTCTCAGCTACAAAGTTCCCGGTCTGGCCCAGCCTCCTCTATCTGCCTCACTGCCTGGCCACCTTCCCCAGCAGCCCGGAACAATCTGGAGGGTGTGCCAGTCGTTTTCCATTCCAAAATGTTCATGTTGCTGGGGGAGAAGTTGTTGCATGTTTATTGCGAAATATGTGTGGTTCTCAGTGGTTTCCAGGCTCTGTGGACCAGCTGCACTCAGCTTGGGGAAGGAAGAGGTGTTCGACAATTATGAGGATATAAGTAAGTCAATCTTGAAACAGCCTGGGAAGAACAATGATTGCCCTTGGTGGCCTTCAGGTTTCCAGCAGGGCAGGTGATGGCCGCTCCTACACACAGCAGGGCTGCGGAAGGCCTGAGCTGTATTGGAGACACGAAGCCCCAAGCTATTCTGATTTTATTCCTCAAACTGGCCCAGCCTCTCCAGCAAAACAGCAAGGCTGGTGCTATCCCACTGCCCTCTCTCTATGGGGCGACTGCTCTAGGACAAGACGCTTTGCCCTCTGGACCTCTCTCTCCACCTGGATCTAAAGCTGCTCTAGAGCTTTCCACACACTCAGCCGATGTTGGAGGCAGGAGGGCTCAAGCAGTGGGGCTCCCCAGGTACAGAGGTGACAGGACTCCAGTGTGTGCACCTTGACCCCTGGAGCCTGGCTGCCCGCCCCCAGGCGCCTGGGCTGTAGCCCCACATCTCAGCATGATAAAGTTTGAGAGTAGGAATTTCCATCTTCCTCCTTCCACTATCCTTGGCCACGGACCTCTCCCAGCCCCATCCACCCCGGGTCTGGTAGATGGACTTGCTTCAGCACCATGCAGCCAAGCACTGATCAGGGTGATCAGTGAAGACTGTCTCTGGTTCTTGGGAAAAGGATTTCTGGCTCAGGAGAGGGCAAAACAGCATTACTCCAAAATTTTTTGGTGGTTACCAACAGCAGTAGGGCAGGCTCCACACTCTGGAAAGCAGAGGGGCAGCAGGGCCAAGGGAGTGTGGGCACTTCCCAGTGTGCTGTCTCTGTAGGCTGCCTTGGACTCTTCGATCCCTGGGTCTGAAGGTCTGTTCATCTGTCTGCAGATGTCTGTCTTTTCTCCGGGTAACCATGGCCCTGTGTGGCCATGACAGGCACCTGGGCCAGGTCATCCTCTAGGGATCTGTCTCTCTAGCCCTCTGGACTGGAAGGCTGGTCATCAGGCCTACAGCTTTCCTCCAAAACCTGAGGCGGCAAGGCTTAGGCCAGGGCTGCAAACCCACCCATCAACAAGACTCCATCAGGGGGGAAGGAGGACAGGCGAGAGTGCCCTCTGGGTAGGGGGTCAGCGACGTTGGCGGTCACACAGCCAGTTGCAGAGGTAGGAAGGCTGAAGAAGCCATGGCCTTCTTCCTACCAATTAAGGGCTGCCTGCTAGAGCAGTGGCAGTTGGGGACTGGATGCTTTCATAGGGTCCTGAATTGGAGCAAGACAGAAGGAAGGGTGCCTAACCATAGCAACCTAGTTCCGCTATGCACAGTGCGCACTTGCGGTCGCAATAAGCCTCCTGGAAGCAAAAAGCCTGTCTGCAGGAAGCAGGCCTTAGTGGCTCCATTGCTAGCTCTTCTCCGAACTCCCGGAGAAGAGCGCCCTCTGGAGGAA